GCGGAGCGCTCGGTGCAGGCAACGGTTTCATGCGACGCGGGAGCAAATGCACCACGATGCGCGCTCAACGAGCACCAACGTACCTTCTTCATGATACCAGCCTTGCGCTTGGAGAAGGTGATGTGCCGACGCGACTTGTCTTGGATGAACTTGATCTCAATCTTTCTTCGCTCGCGGCCGGGCTTGTCATCATCGTCGTCGTCGTCGTCGGCAGCGGCGCGCGCACGCTTGACGCCGCGGTTCTCCATGCCCATGGTGCCATTGCCGTCGTCGTGGACAGACGGCGACGCGTTCTGGTCGTGCTCGGTGATTTCGCTGGCCATGGTGGTGAGTCGCGACAAAGATTGGTTACCCGCAGTGTTTGGGGGACGAGGGCCCTAAGCTGTGTTGGGCCGAGTGTGGGGAGTTGGCAGGCGTTCTTGCGTGGTTTGGGCAGACGCGCAAAATGTTACAGAAGGAACTGCAGACGGCTTGAGTTGGGTTAGACTCTTAGGACGACCTCATACGGAAAAGGAAGCGCGGCCTGTTAAAAGATCGGGGCTGGTCCCTTTGTGATGGCGCAGCAGGAATGCAAGGAAAAGGTGCGCGGGGGAGGAAACGCTTGGTCGCACTGTGCTCGGTGGAAGGCACTAAATTACTCGGGGGGCCCGTGCTGCGCCAGTGGCTGGGGGGTGCTTGTGGAAGGGCTTGGTGCCGGAGAGCGTGACCTCGCGACAGAGGGCGGGCTGGGAGAGAGAAAAGGGTACGTACCTGGCCAAACGCGCAGCGAGATCAGGTGCGGCGTGCTTTGTTTTCGCGCGCCGTTGGGTGGGTAGCAAAAAGACAGGTCGAGTGGTTTCCCGAACCCTGAGCTTGTGGAGCTTGGCGGGCACGCAGGGACAGACGGAGTGGTGCAGGTGTGTTATAGCCCGAGAGCTGTCTGAGGAAGGAAAGGGACGAACGGTATTGGGAATGAAACGGCGGGAGTGGTCAAGTATTTCTCTCGACGGCTGCTTTGGCTGCTTTGGTGCGGGCAGGCCCTCAACTATCCACACAACTGGGGGCGGATGCGCTTGAGCGCGACCCTGGTCACAGCTCTGAGTCGCAGATCGACAATAATTGCCCTGGACGGAGGCCCTGGACTGAGGTTTCGCGCCGCGCATGAAGGCACAATCTGCAGCGCAGCATGCCTTTTGTGCTGATACTGACTTTGACCCCTTCCCACTAGACCTTTGGCCTGTCAGGTCGTTTTTGGAGATGAACAGCAGCGGCCTTTCCACATGAAAAGTGCGCCGTCCATCTCAGGCCGAGGGCTGCGCTAGAGGCAGCTGAGCAGGACCCCGGTGTTTTGTATCATGTTGATTGGTGGAAAGACTGCGCTAGTCCCGCTCAAGTCAGATTGACGGTCAACTGGTGAAGGTCGGTTGCCCACTCTCCGGGCTTACAGGCCACGGTACGAGATGCTTGGGGGCAGTCGAGGGACGACTAAGCTTCACGCCAGGCTCGTCGTACTAGGTGGGTTTGCGCCGTCTTTCCCATTGCATTCTTTGCCCTGGACGCAGGCGTCGACTGTACCGCTGTTTGCCCTGTTCATGATAGGAGTGGGTCGTCGTGGGTGTCGTGGAAGCCGCGGCTGCACCTAGGCAAGACCAAGCAAGTACCACCCTTACGCACCTTCCCCGTTTGATCTCGCTTCGCTTTCAGCGACGGTCTAGCCTGCTCCCTCATCCTGCCCGCCTGCACTGTTGGTGGCGCCGGCCCTGAGGCAGCAGCTCGATTCTCAACACCATCGCGCCTCGTGACAACCATAATGCCGCGGCTCCACCATCTGGTTCCATGTAGCCTGCCATCGACACTTCGTCGCACTTCTTCTAACATTGTGCTTGTTCCCACTCCACCTCTGCGGCTCACCGACGTCGCAGCGCCAAAACATCGAACCATCATGCCTGTTCCCGTCTGTGATTGGCCACCCGCAATGCTCCAACACTACTGAAACCACCCACGCATCGCCGTGCTCTAACTGCGACGCGCCCTCGCAGTGCTTCTTAATGCTCATAGTCCCCGTGTCCCCGAATGCCATGCATTTTCCGCGCGAGCGCTGGTCTTGCTACTTTCTCTTCACTTCTATCTAATAATTCTCCTTGCTCGACGCAGTTCATCAGAGTACGCCGGACGGCTCCGCTGCGCTCGACTTCCATTCTTTGCTTCAATCCTTCTTTTTGATTTCACTTCAGTCTCTTCCGTCAAGCCGCAAGTCGCAGTACCGCCAACATGCCGACCAAGTTGATGATGGCCTTTGTGGGCATGGACCTACTCTTTGCCGGATGCGGAGGACTGTTGCTGGGCTTCTCCCTCATATCTGAGCAATCGATGCGCGCCACTCCGACCGTAGACAACGTCACACAGAACCTGCTGCTCGGCCAGTGTCCCTTGACAGGTACGACATTTATGAATGGGCCATGGTAGTAATGCTGGAGGAATCGATATCCTGGCACTACTGTGGCGGCGCATCGTCCCACGCATCGCCCTGGAACATGCGGTTTTGGCAAACATCAACTAACAACTTATCCAGCTGGCGTAGTCAATGCAATCTTCGTCTTTGTCACATTCTTGTTGTCTCTCCCGGCCCTTTTTCTACCAACGAATCGAGGTTGGCTCCGTACTCAGGGCTGGTTGGTAGTCATCTGCGCGACCTTCACACTTGGTCTTGGTATCGCTATCTGGGTAGAGACACTACAAACCCGCACGAACCTCAGCGTCCTTTGGGGACGCGAGACGCCGCTTATTCAAAGTCTTCTGCAACAGAAGGTGAGTTGCCTCGACGATCAGCGTCAGCACTAGAAGCGTCCATCCGTACACAATCATGTGGGGAGGCTTAGCAGCCCTGCAAAAATACATCATGATCTACAGAAAGAAGCTGACAAGTAATAGTTTGACTGCTGCGGTTACGTCAACTCAACCACGCCTCCGTTCGTGCAGGATAGTACATGCCAAAACACCCTGGTCGCCGCTCAGAAGGGAGGATGCATTGGTAAATTCTCCTCTTTCGCCAATACATATCTGGATCGAGTGTTCACTGCCGCCTTCGGTATCGTCGGTATCGACATGATCCTTGTGCTTTGTGTCGCCATGGTCCTCAAGTATCGCATGGAGCAGGAACGCTACAGGCACATTGACGAGAAGAACGGACTGGGTGGGCTATAGACGATTGAAGAATCTAAAACAGAAAGAAGAGGGTTTTGGAAGAGCCGGCCAAGCCAAGTCAACGAACACACATGTCAATCGAACGACTCTTTCTTTCCCCCCCATAGTCTACAGCTGGTGATGTGGAAGTAATGACGGAGGTCCCAGCAGTGCTGATGCTCCATACGGCAAGCTTTCTAGGTCTTTGATTCGGTATCTTATTGTTTTTTGCATTTAGCGTTCTCATGTATATAGATCTGGATACGACTCCGTTAATATAGTTTCACGACTGTTCTCGCATGGCGAGTGTACATGAATTATAGACTTCACATGGACGGTATATCGTAAACCGATGACTTGGACGTGATTGCACTCATGGCCCCAGCATCCCAGAAACGGCTCTCTCCAACAACTGACCATCGCCCCATCAGCCTCATCTCAAACCAGCTCAAAACCAAACACCAAACTAGCCAAGCCTCACTACACCTGTCACTTTGCACCACCATTCCACTTTTCGCCGTTCCCTCACCGGCAACAACGCTAAACCTCTTTTTCCACTTCCCACTTTACTTTTAACAAGGACCATCCCGCATGCCGCCAAACCGTTCATCGGCAGACGGCAACCTAGTTCAAACTCGGAAACTGCTATCCGAAATACAACGGCAGCCTCCAGGGCTGATACCCAATACCAAGGAACCCGAACGCACTGGCATGCAAGAGACATGGTAGCAAGCACCTGCAGACGGCAAGTAAGCTGGCTAGGCCTAGGGTGGTTTACCCACCGGTACATTCATTGACAGCATGTGGGAGGGATGTCGCGCGCGCGGTATTTATTTATTGTAGGGCTAGCAGACGATGCGATGTGTCTTCACTGGACTAGGCGCGCATATCGCGGTATTCACCCATCATAAGATCTAACTCACACAGCGAACACCCCTTAGCCTACGCATATAAATTACTCAATGACCGATGCTCCGAAATGTTGTTTGTTGCTTCACGAGCCCGGCGTTCTGGCGCGAAATCCGAACCGAGGCGATTTTCGCTTTGTAGGTGGCCCCCGAACAACGCTGATTCGCATCTCCATCACACCGCCTCAGATAGCGAGTCAGCAATTTGCGTGCGCCACAGCTCTCATGCCTGTCAGACATTTCCCACCTGCAGCCGTCATTGCAAGCGTACCCGTGCCGCAAGCCCACGTAGTAATCTATCGCTGTATCGCATCTCTACACGTGGTATTCACGGCACTCTCTGGCCCAGTCACTTGCTTCGTCATTTTGTTCTTGAGCACTACACAGCATGCACGTTCGCACGTACAGTAGTTATATGAGTAAGCCGCCTCATCGCCTTGACTGGCTCGCTCGCTCTCCGACGCCCCGTAATGCAATGTGACAGGAGGAGATGAACTCGTTTCTGGGCCGCGACCGAGCTTCTGCGGACATCAGCTGGATCGAAAAGAGCTAACTGCATAGTTTTCTCTCTCTTCTAGACCCTTGACGCTAGCCGCTAATTTTCAAAGGATTGCAGATTGCAGCGCGTGAAATTGAATTTGGTCTGATATTTCCTGCGAGGCGACGAGGTAGAGCGGAGCGTGAGTTTTAGTTCTCCTGTAGATCCCCCCTGAAGGATGTAGCGGGACGGTATGCCAAGTGCTGTGCCAACGTTGATGCAGGTTTCAGGGGTCACGAGGAGATGAGGTTGCGCGGGGCGCGACAAGTTGCTTGAAACCTTTCACGAAAGCAAGTAGAAGGATGATATGGTTGTAATAGTCTTGAATGCCCGCAAAGGCTAATATTATGGTATGGCCTGCATATAACTCGGTAGTATCGGCAAAGCCTTTGTCAAGTCTTTGTGGAATCCGCGACGTCTGACACGACGTCGTCCTCTCCATCGAAGATGCCACGTAATGGTGCTGGGGTGCAGTTCTGCATTCTTTTCGTGAAGAACTTGCTGACTTTGAGCTGTGTATCCTCATCATCATTCCCAAACACGTTGTGAGCCTTCTTTCCGCCTATCCGTACGGCGTGCTCAAGTCGTGCGCGTAGTCTTTCTATAGAATCCTTCGTGTCCATGATGGTCAAATCCACTACAGCGCCAGCTTCGACAATAGAATTACCAAGTAGCTGAAATTCTCGAGCAAGTGCATCCACCTGATTGTTGAAGTCTCTCACCTCAGATGACGCAGGTACTGGAGCGCTGACTGGAGAAGAGCCTGCTTCTGAAGTCGTTGGACTTGATAGGGGTTGGTAAGGAACGTCCAATAAACCGGGCCCAATAGCGATGTCAAGAAGAGCCAAACGTGCAGCGAGATGACTGTAATTCGTATTCTTGTTTACTTGGAAACCTGGCGAGTTCTTCATATGCTTATAGATGATGTCGGAAACCTTCGGGTCCGAAAGTGGCACGTCGACTGGAGTCGGGTGAACTAGAAATGCGAGGGCCAGATGACGTTGCAAATATGCTGTCAACGGCGATGTCGTTGGAAAAGAACGAATCAAGTTTCTTTGGAGCAAAGGATGCGTCACTTTTGCAAGTAGTTGAGAGACGACATCGCTGAGCTGTGTAGATATTAGAGTGTGAATGTTGTGTTGTAGTGAAGGGCGCCCTACAGCGGAGGCCAGCTTGTGGTTGTTAGCAAAGCTGCATACAATAGCTCCCATAGCGTCCTGTATGGTGTGCATAATGGCAGCATCTGCCATGACTCTATCATCAAGACACACGTGGCTGAGTATGTATAGCGCACGACTTCGGGTTTGCGATTGCAAGCTGTAAAGAATCAGTAAAGCCCTTTCCCCATACATAGTCTGCCTACCATGGTGCTGCTCGCTCAAGCAGCTTGGCGATAGAAATTAAAGGCAGCGGAAGCGAGACTCTGGTTTCGGATCGTGGTACAAAGACCGGCGTAAGTTCGGTTGACGCTTCGAGTTGTGCCATATCAGCGCCTGTCTCCCTAAACAATGTTTCTAGTCTTGTACGGTCAAGAAGCGTGTAGAGATGCTTGTTATGTTTTTCAGACTGTAAAGGGTCAAATGTTGCCATGAGTTGAGAATAGATGGGACCTTACCTCCAGGATTTCAATATACTTGTAATTGAGCGCCTCATTCCGACTCGAGGAAACTACAAATCTTAGCAGGTGCAAGTGTGCCGTTTGTGTATTACTAACTCTGATCAATCATCCAAGAAGCTAGCTCTGGAGGCAGCTTTTGTAGATGAAATATCTGTTGAGCGAAGCCGGTCATGAAAGCTTGATCCCTGGCGTACGAGTCTTGAACATGTTAATGACTGACGCGACGTAACAGTATAGAAGCTCTACCTTCAAAGTTCGATACCCATCGATGGTTGGGTAAGCTTCTGATGGGAAATGCGGCCCGCATTGGTATTGAGTTCGAGTCTGAGTTGTCTTTGAAAAAATGGAAAGTGCTTTCTAGCTGTGTAGCGTTCGTTCTCTGCATAGCCTGGAAGAGGCGGTGCGCCTTCTCCGGATCATCATCATCATCTACGACTTGGCCAAGCGTCTCTTCGTTTATTGTAATGGATGCATTCACGGGTATCTCCAGAGGTGTCTCGAGAGCAGTCTTGTGTTCCAGGATCTGTCGCTCTGTTTCCCGGTTCTTCTGGGCTGTTTGTACTAGTGCGCTGAAGTTGATCCTGTCACCTTTCGCCTTCTTAACGGGCTTGCGTAATCCATCTACTTGATCTTCGGATGTGCGTTTTGAACGTGTCGTGGTCATGGTAGTCAAGGCCTTGACTTTTGTCACGGGTATACCAAAATCCAGGTCGGGGAGCGAGTCATCGTCGGAGTCGGAATTCAAGACCATCTGCTGGCCATTTGACTCTATTCGCCTGCTTGTGCCTGAATTTGCGGATGTCTGAGAGGGGTTCAAGGGCGGGGCATCGGCACTTGCAGCTCTTGTTGTGGAAGGCGCAGTCGAAACGGAGGGATTCGACGAGGAAAGCGGGGGGTGAGTGACGTGCGAGACAGCGTCCGGGAGGGCTGCAGAAGATTTTGGAGGGTTAGACTGACGGGTAGGCGCATGTTTTGCATCTGCAGCGGTGGGATGGGTCAGCCTGAGGCAGCAAGTCTCAGACGGCAGGGAGCATGTACTTCTCTGGGGCAGGGTCGATTGCGAAGCAGCAGCACTTGTGGAATTTGTCGGTACGGGAGAGAAGAAGTCTCGGATGCTTTTCTTGTGGGGTTTCATAGCGGAGAATAATAGAGGGGTGGTGATGTTGACGAGTGGGGGTGGTGCAACCTTGCGACGACGCGTGAGGCGTTTCCAGGCTGGATGCTAGACATGATGCGCGGCACGCTGTCACGTGGCTGGCGACAACTTCACCCGGAGCTAAGTATCTGGGCGCAATCCGCCAACGCCTGGCTGCAGATGGGCTAGATTCATTTACCGTTGACGACATGCATCGGAATGCGAGTTCGCCGGCATCCGTATGTCGCGGGAAGCTGGTCAACTCTACACTGCGGAATATTCGTCGCCGCATCCGAGCTATGCCGCCGGCGCTGAGTGGTGACGTCCTGTTTCAACGGTTTCGCATTGCCCTCTCTACGCTGGCCTGCGACATGTTATATTAAGCACATGGGATACGGCTCTAGAAGCTTCATTAATCCGGGTGCCAGCTGTCCAAAGTCACTTGTACGAAGCACGGAGCTCGAGGATCTCCCGGCTACGACGACATAGACAGCCGGGTCGTGAGACGAGGGAGGGCTGAAATGACGCTCCACCCTGGGTGGTTGCTTAGAAGGGCTGCTGACTGGAGCCCGCGGATGCTCCGCTATGATTAGTCCTCGGACGGTCCCAAGCTGACATGGCTGAAGCAGACCAAGACCTTCCCAGAGTGCGAAAAGCGTTGTTGATGCTGTTATCCGCCGCCCAGAGGAACTGAGATGGGGATGTGCACTTCATCTACTCTCTCTGTCTCTGCAGGCCCAGGCCACGCGTCGCCAACGCGATTGACAGAAATAAATCCTCCTGTGTTGGTGCGTGAAATGATCAGATCGCAGTGCGGGCCCTTCAAGGGGAACTAGTCTCGCATCTTGTTAAGACCGTAGCGTCCGGCCGAGGGAGTGTGAGGCGTGTGCTTCCCGCGCCGATGCTGTAAGCATATGGAAGCAACTAAAGCCCAGCAACGCATCAATCATTCATCAGGGTCTGCGCAGTACTTGCCGCTCCGCTGCCTTCCCCTCGTGCTGATTCTCCACGGCCCTGCACTCTGACGACCTCGCGCCAGCTAATCACTCCGTCGCATAATCTGACTGTCGCTCCGCCTCCAACGTCGAGTTTAGTGTTCGCAACCGCTGTTTCTCGTCCGGCATCTTTTAATATCCGAATACAACACGGCCGCCGGTCTCCTAGCACCCTCCGCGACGACCACCACAACACCACCACCACAACCACCACCTCGTCCCTCGACCACCCCCCGGCACTACATGCACTGCACCCCCCGCCACGTGCCAGCGTCCTCCGCGAACGAGTTGGCTTGCATTGCAGCGTAGAGCCATTCCGGCTCAGGCCGTCGCCGCCCTCCCTGCAGCGCCGCAGCATCCCCGACGACAAGCACCATGACGCTGCAACCCTACATGGAGCCCAACGAGACCGAGGTGTCACATCCCCAGAAGCGCATACGCTGTGAGTGACGCCCTTCCGCTGACAGCACAGAGAGACGACAGTTGAGAGCATTGCGCTGACGGGACATGCAGGGGCAACACATCGTGCGACAGGCATCAAAGCGGCAAACAAGCGACACTCCCTCAAGGAACGTCTCCACCGGCGTATAGGCTCTGGCGGCGAGAAGCAAGACCCGTTGGGTAAAGAAGGAGGACTTCCGACCGACCCGTCTCCTGAGAGCTCAGATGCAGGCGCCGAAGAGGGAGACTCGGGGCGCAAAGTCTACTTCAACGTTCCCCTGCCGCAAACAGAACGCGACGAAGAAGGCCACCCCCTCGCACAGTACGCCCGCAACAAGATAAGAACCGCCAAATACACGCCGCTCAGCTTCATACCCAAGAACCTGTGGTTCCAGTTCCACAACATCGCCAACGTCTACTTCCTGTTCATTATTATCCTGGGCGTGCGTACCCTCCCGTCTCCTCCGAAACATCCGACAGCTAACTGATTTGTTCAGATTTTCTCCATTTTCGGTGCTAGTAATCCGGCCCTTAATGCAGTACCGCTCATCGTCATTCTCGTCGTAACGTCCATCAAGGATGGAGTAGAGGATTGGCGAAGAACCGTCCTAGACAACGAGCTCAACAACGCGCCCGTTCACCGACTCGTCGACTTCAACAACGTAAACACGGCCGAAGACACGGTATCATTATGGCGGAAGATCAAGAAGGCCACCACAAAGAGCATAATCTCAACATGGCGGCTGATGAAGAGCGCCAAGAACAAAAAGGGTGCAAAGGGCAAAGGAGGTGAGGACGGCGGCATGGACGGCTCGCGCCCTTCCCACGAGACCCGAAGAGCTTCCATCGCATCACGCAGAGAATCCTACTTTGGAAACGAGAACGACATCCAGATGACACCCGTGCCCTCACCGTTACCAGGCCAATCTCCTACGCATTCTCCTCCACTAACCCATGGACCCGGTGAAGGAGATAAAATTCGCGGCGCCGACTCCAATCCTGGCCCTCAAAAGAAGTTCTGGGGAAGTGTGCTGAACCCGTACAAGACTGCTCCAGAAAAGGCACGTTTCAAGAAAGATGCATGGAAAAATGTCCAGGTCGGTGATTTCGTGCGCCTTTACAACGATGAGGAGATCCCTGCCGACGTGATTGTGCTTTCCACTTCTTCCGACGACGGCGCATGCTATGTTGAGACGAAGAACTTGGACGGTGAGACCAACCTCAAGGTGCGTAATGCACTCCACGCCACTCGAGATGTGCGACATGCTCGACACTGCGAGCGCGCCGAATTCGTCATCGAGAGCGAAGGCGCGCATTCCAACTTGTACTCGTACAGTGCAGCCATCAGGTGGCAGCAGCACAACGCGAAAGATCCCGAGGCGCCGGCGTACGAAATGGTCGAGCCCATATCCATTAACAACCTTATCCTCCGTGGCTGTCAATTGCGAAACACTGAGTGGGTATTGGGTGTCGTCGTCTTCACTGGAGAAGAGACAAAGATCATGATAAACTCCGGTATCACGCCCAGCAAGAGAGCCAGGATCTCCAAGGAACTGAACTGGAACGTTGTATACAATTTCTTCATCCTGGCCGCCATGTGTCTGGTCTCTGGAATCGTGCTTGGTGTGACTTGGGCCCGGGACGACACCACCCATTCATTCTTCGAATATGGTTCCTACGGAGGGGCTCCTGCTACAGACGGTGTAATTGCGTTTTGGGCTGCCGTCATTCTCTTCCAGAATTTGGTTCCTATTTCGCTTTACATTACCCTGGAAATCATTCGTACGCTGCAGGCCCTCTTTATCTACAGCGACATACACATGTACTACGCAAAGCTGGACTACCCCTGTACTCCCAAGTCCTGGAATATCTCAGATGACGTGGGCCAGATCGAATACATCTTTTCGGACAAGACGGGTACACTCACCCAGAACGTCATGGAGTTCAAGAAGGCAACCATTAACGGAGTTCCCTATGGAGAAGCATACACAGAGGCCCAGGCAGGCATGCAGCGGAGACAAGGTATCAACGTCGAAGTTGAGGGTGCCAAGGCCCGCGAACAGATTGCGCGCGACCGTGTACGGATGCTCGAGGGAATTCGCAAGATGCATGACAACCCCTACTTGTGGGATGACGATCTGACATTTATTGCTCCGGACTATATTGACGATCTGCGCGGAGAATCTGGAATGGAACAAAAGAGAGCCAATGAGGAGTTTATGATTGCTTTGGCCCTTTGCCATACCGTCGTTACTGAACGCACCCCTGGTGACCCACCGAAGATCGAGTTCAAAGCACAATCGCCCGATGAAGCCGCACTCGTTGCTACTGCCCGTGATTGTGGCTTCACATTCGTTGGTCGCGAAGACGATCGTCTCGTTGTCAATATTCTGGGACAAGAGCGCAAATACCAAGTCCTCAATACCCTGGAATTCAACTCCAGCAGGAAGCGAATGAGTGCGATCATCAGAATGCCTGATAACAGAATCGTCCTATTCTGCAAAGGAGCCGACAGCATGATCTACTCTAGGTTGATCCCCAATGAGCAACGACAACTCCGTGCCGATACTGGTGAGCATCTCGAGATGTTTGCGCGAGAAGGACTCCGAACACTGTGCATTGCTCAACGAGAGATCTCTGAGGAGGAATACCAAGAGTGGAACAGGGATTACGACATTGCTGCCAACGCTATTCAAGGACGTGAGGACAAGCTGGAAGAGGTATCCGATCGCATCGAAAACCACTTGTGGCTGATTGGAGGAACTGCCATCGAAGACCGACTCCAGGACGGTGTACCAGAGTCCATTTCTCTTCTCGGTCAGGCCGGTATTAAGCTGTGGGTTCTTACAGGTGACAAAGTTGAGACAGCCATCAACATCGGTTTCTCTTGCAACCTTCTCGACAACGACATGGACCTGATTATCCTCAAGGTTACAGACGATAACATCGATTCTATAGAAGCCCAGCTCGACGAGAAATTGAAGATCTTCGGTCTAGAAGGCTCTGAAGAAGAACTGGCCGCCGCTCAAAACGATCACGAACCACCACCACCTACACATGCCATCATCATCGACGGAGATACTCTCAAGCTGGCTCTAGATGAATCAGTAAAGCGGAAGTTCCTTCTGCTTTGTAGGCGTTGTCGATCCGTTCTTTGCTGCCGTGTGAGTCCCAGTCAGAAAGCAGCCGTCGTCAACATGGTCAAGACTGGACTGGACTGTCTCACTCTTGCTATTGGAGACGGTGCCAACGACGTGGCCATGATTCAAGAGGCGCACGTTGGTGTCGGTATCGCTGGTGTCGAGGGCCGCGCAGCCGTCATGTCTTCTGATTACGCCATTGGTCAATTCCGTTTCCTCACTCGCCTTGTGCTTGTTCACGGTCGATGGTCATACCGTAGGCTCGCAGAAACTATTGCCAACTTCTTCTACAAGAACATCATTTGGACGTTTTCTCTCTTCTGGTACCAGATTTACACCAATTTCGACAGCCAGTATATCTTCGACTACACTTACATTATCTTCTTCAACTTGGCGTTTACGTCACTCCCTGTTATCGTCATGGGTGTTCTGGATCAGGATGTCGATGATAGAGTATCTCTGGCCGTCCCGGAGCTGTACCGTCGTGGTATCGAGCGAAAGGAGTGGAGCCAGCCTAAGTTCTGGTAAGCAAAATCGGCTCAAGGCACATGAAAGACACTAACATATCATAGGGCTTACATGGTCGATGGTATCTACCAATCCGCAGTTGCCTTCTTCTTCTTGTACGAAATCTTCGCACCCGCAACTTTTGCGACCTCCAACGGATTGGACCTGGCCGAGTTCCGACGCATGGGTATCTACGCTGCAACTACAGCTGTTTGTGCAGCCAACATCTATGTCCTATACAACACATATCGTTGGGACTGGCTGATCGTCCTGATCGTCGTCATCAGTACCCTCTTCATCTGGTTCTGGACTGGGGTGTACACCTCTTTCACCTCGAGTGCTCAATTCTACAAGGCTGGTGCCGAAGCATACGGCACTCTCAATTTCTGGGCTTACGTTCTGTGCGCTACGGTAGCGTGTTTGCTTCCGCGCTTCATCTTCAAGGTGGTGCAGAAGATCTACTTCCCTCTAGATGCGGACATTATTCGGGAGCAGGTGAAGCAAGGCAAATTCGACTATTTGAGAGACAATGACTCTTACCTTCCTCCTCGACCAGAGAAGGTGGCTGGTGAGCAAGACTCCAACCAGTCATCGGAAGCCGATGCTTCGAAGTACAAAGCCGCTAATGCCGATGTCACGGACGAAGACGTTCGACCCATCTACCCACCATCAGTTGCTCCAACCGCTACGACGCACAACCCAAGAAGCCAGAATGGCAGCAACAGCACCGACTACACTTTCCGCCGTTCTATGGAGGGTCTCCCACCCGCTCCTACAACGGAGGCTCCTCCCCTCGCCCATCGTATGTCGACCGACTACCGCGTACGACCAAGCTTCGATCGCGCACGTATGTCTATGGACCGCGTGCGTCCTAGTTTCGAGCAAAGCAACGACTTTACCTCGGCCGCCATGCTGACACGACTCGAGTCGTCCCACAGCCGTAACAGTTTCCAAGGCCACAGGAACAGCTACCAAGGCGGTCCCCCCAATACACAACCGGCAGTCATGAGCCGGTTACGCAATGCGATCCGCAGAGCGACAATAACACGAGATGAGGCGCCAGAACATCTTCGTCAAAATCAAGAAGATGTACCGGAAGTGCCTGCAGTACCCAAAAGCCCACCACGTAGTCCGCGAAGTCCGCCCAGGTAGTACCTGAGGTGACTAGTAGTAGGATGGGGGACGACTTGTTTGCATATTGTCTGTCCCTGTTTCCTCCTTTGACGAGCCTTTACGACTCCTTTTTTGTACATAACCCATCATATTTCTTTTAACTGTCACGTTTCGCATTGCGCTAGCGATCTGACCATGTTCCTCATCTACATATCATCATTACCACTACCACTACGCTTTATTCCCTGTTTGTGGTTTTCTGCCTCTCCATCAAAGATCAAATAGGCGTTTTTGGTCTTGATTTCCCGAAATGTATAGCTTGTGATTCCCTCGTTGAGCTTTCTTTGTTTCTTTCTTAATCTTTTTCTGTCTACACCGATATCAGAGCCATGGGGGGAGTGATGAGATGTGCTCGTTGTGGGATGGAAGAATAGACGGGTGTTGATGAGTATGGCTGTAGATATTCTAATGATGTGTGACTAGCCTGGTCCTATCCTGGGCTGTCTCGACGTTCTAAGAGATCTTCGTATGAGTGGCTGATTTTCATAATATGTGGTCTATTCGAAACCACCTAGTGACTCTTGCCTTGAGTATATTTGTGTCTAGGTATTGTTATGCTTTCGCAGTCACCACGCTTCTCAGGCTCATTCTTTCCCAGCTGGCTGTGACTTGCTAAGTTTGCAATCAACTCGCGCTAACCTTTCCAGTCACCTGGTACATTCATACCTTACATACTTACGACCTCGCAACACTGCCCGCAGAGAAAGGCGTCAGTCACAACTAAAGCGCCAGTGATTGATTCAGCGCCTCGCTAATTCTCACGTAATACCCTCAGGGAAAACCTTAACTAAACACCTTTTTGTCACGTTGTCGCTTTTTGCCTGGCGTTTTGAGTGGTATAACCACCAAGCGCAAGTGCGTCCCGAATCACGGGTGATTACACGTGCCTTGTGAAAGAGCGTAATAAGCATTCTTTCTTTGAATGATAATTGGAGGGTCGTAATCACCTTCAAGTAATTGCAATTGCAACCCCGCATCTTACACTCCTTCGACAGGCTCAAGTCTACTTCCGCGTTCGTAACAGACGCGCTTTATCATCCTCCCAACCCCGAACACCGATATGGCTTCCACAAATCCCGACAGCGCAAGGAATCTAGGGACCGTAAGGGTGTTGGGTGAGCGAGGCTTTCCGGCTAAGGGTCAGGCTAAGCATTCTTTGTCTGTACAAGAAAGGGCCAGGAAGAGGAAGTGGAACATATCTGGCGACGAACACCGAATGTTCGAAGGAGGCGACGTCACCACACGGCACAGTTATGCTGAGATTACAGACAACTATAGGGTTGAAAGTGGCAGACCGCAACTACATGGCCCAGGAAAGACCGTAAGGCTGTACGCGTCTCATTCGAACGCTCTCGACCCTGATCGTAGCAAACGACATAGACATGGAGCACCAGACTCCCCACGACAGAACAACCCCCGAAAACGCAGCAAGCAAAACTTGGAGAAGGCACAGCAGCTCGCCCTGAACTATCCTGATCTCCGAGATATCGAAGCATGGCAAAAATTTGGCCAAAACATAGAGCGAAAGTTCCACAGAGAATACACATTTGTATATCGACAGTTGCGTCTGAATCAATGTCCTAAGGCATTGGCATACACCGAGTGGAGGAAGAGGGTATAGCAAGAGATGGTGGGGTTGGGCTTGCAAGATGCATATACTCGGCCTTTTGTAGATAGGATGCCTGGAGGTGAAGTCGAAGATGAGGCTAAGGAAGAAGTGGCCCAAGAGGCGATGGAGGAAGCGGAGGAAGAACGGGCACGGAGAGAAATGGACAGGATGATTGCTGACGACGGCCTTGACATTGATATCTACGGCGATGAAGTGACGAGGAGGAAGTATGAACCCTGGATCAGGAGTCGAATGGATCGAACGTAGACACCTATCTTCGCGATCCGCCCATGATAGCACTCGACCTTCTTTTTCCACAATGCTTTGAAGTCCTTGTGCGATTGCTTTTTTGTCGCTTGACTAGCTTCGTCGATTTGGTCTGATACCACACAGACAGCGATTAGTGGGGCCGCGGTTGCATGTCATGTATACATCATAGCTATCCAGAAAACTGGCACTTCTATCAACGCCTTCCTGGTGTAAGTGAAGCCATCTTAATTCATCATTACTTGGAGTGGTTGGCTGAGACACTGTAAAGGCAGCAACACTAAAGTTCATGGCAGTGGTGCGGTCACCTATACCACACTCGGGTACTGATATGACCACAGTAAACGTCACAGTGAAGGAAAGCCGCCAGCATGTTCGATCTGGCGCATGGTATCCATATTTGACCCACACGATCTGAAATTGAGTCTGCAGAAAGCAGGTCTAAGAGCCTTGGGATGAGCCTGTCCTGCATGAGACCCACTAATGACCGTAGATCGGTAAACCCGATGTGTAGAGCTGCAATCTCAATGTCTTGCTAAATTTCAGATCGCAACCGATCTTCCCAAAGAAATAGGCTTACTACATCGTTGTGCGGTCGATTGGCAATTTCCACCCTGTTTGTACAGCACATCAATCTCGATCGGCATGACAGAAACTGTGCACACGTGAGTGCGCAGGTATGACCACCACACAGATTTTCGGTACACACGAGAGTTGATTTCATTATGATGTCGAATACCTCATAGAGAAGTATGCAAAAAGATGACGATACCTCACTACGTGTCTGATTTAAGAGACGTGCTGTTTGCAGAATTCTGAGACCAACTGGAGGAACAAAACCAACCCGAGAACATACTTGGCCTTTTTGATCTCTTTCTTGACCCCGTAATCATGGACAGACCAAAGCAAGCATCAGCTGATGAGACTTCTTACCTTGTCTCTCTTTCTCACTACGATACACACAGCCTTTGCTCGGACTACACATTGAGGCGCCACAAATACGAGTCTGAGGCCAACGCTGGATGTTATGAATCGAGACAAGATTGGATCAAATACGTCGGGCCAATCGAAGAATTCGGAGGATGTAACCCTATCAACGGCAACTTCTCGGCTGTGGTCCACCACTTACCAAGCCAGAAAGATTGCGCATGATCGCTTATGTGCTTGAGTGTACGATACCTGTACCATACGGTTTCCCTATCACTGAGGTAGTCTGCTTACTGAATACAGATGCATACGCTAAGACTAGGTAGTGCTTCAATCAAACATTAAAGACTCACGCTCACTTGATCGGCGGCACTCACCTAACGAACAATCTCCAATCCTGAACGTTTAAGCACTATCAACGTCATCTTCCCTCATCTAACCAAGATCACTACGACCACGATCTAAACTTCCTGAATGGCTGTATCTTCTCTTCCTCGAACACCCATCCACGTAACGACATCGCCCATAGACACTGCAATGTCTGAAGATTCCGAAACAATGTATCACGGAGTAGGAGACACGACTCCCCTACCTACCCAGAGCGAAGGACAGCTTAAGTCCGATGATCTACCTCCCCAACGATCACACCATATCACGCGCGATATGGCAGTCGGCAGAACGTCAGTAAACTCCACGCTGATCTCCGACTCGCACAAGCCCTTCAAAGAATCAGGGCTCGAATCAATTCATCGTTCGGGTTAGCAAGGATGAGAGGCATTGACTTGCACAACTGGACATAAAGGACAGGCTCAATAAAGTGGACAGCGGTCTGCGTGTATTGAAGGCAAGGTTGAAAACCAAGGAAGAGAAATGGGCATCGCGTTACGACATGCCAAAGAACATCATGACTGCAGAGGAAAAGCTGAAGGTCAAGATTGAGAAGGCAAAGGAGGAATTGAGCGCTAAGGAGGATCTAGCTGCGGCGCGACGTACAAAGAAGCATGACATGCGCGACGAGCGGGCCAAGAAGCAAAAGGTAGACTATCAGCAGCGAGAGGCAAAACGACGAGAGCAAGCAAAGACTGACATTGGTGCAGAGATGGCAAGCGCCGGAGCTGCGATGGCGACTTCTTGTGAGGGTGACTTCGACATCGATGTTTACGATAACTAAGATACGTGCAAGGAATGCAGCATTGCTTCTTTACATATTAGCTAGTGACTTACGGCGCTATGGGCGGTGAGACTTTGAGACTGTTGCATACTTACGTTCCGCGACGGAAAGTTGCGTCGTTCAGACCCACTGCCAAAAGTATATGGCGCCATTGCGACAGAACGTTGATAACCACAGTTGTATGGGCTCTTGACGCTTTCGATATGACCTCATACAGACTGCGCCTTTTTTGAGCATGTCAAGTATGTAAGAAAAAGATGCTCAGAGTGAAGTGATGCTGGCTGGAGACGGGTCAAGAATGCGCTAGCTCAAATTACACTAGCCGACCGATCGACAGGGCAAGTATGTCATCATCGATCGCGTCCCGACCACTTTTCGCGAAGCTCAGAAGCATCAAAAGATTGTCACGAGCATGGCATCTGTTGCTACCCTTCCATTGCCCCCATCGCGATGCCACCGTGGTCGCTGATCTCACCGGCCTCTCGGGGCATAGGCTTCGCACTCGCAAGACGGGTGTTGCAGACCACGAACGCGCCTGTTGTTACAACAGCCCGAAAGGATCTCGATAAGACAAAGGAGGAGTTACTCGATGGTTTGGATGTTGACGAGAAGCGATTGACGGTGTTAAAACTGGATGTTCTAGGTGCGTATTTAGCATATGTGATAATGTGCATAATGGCGCTCGAGTACTGATCTTATTCTAGACGAGACGACTATTGCAGATGCAGCAGCGACCTGCAAGAAGCAGTTCAGTGATGGCCCTCATCAGCTTCAACTAGCTATGATGGTGCCGGGGATCCTTTTCCCAGAAAAGTCTCCCTCCCAAATCAACGCTGACGAAGCGTTATTGACTTTGTAAGTAATGGTCTTATCTAAACCGGACATGCGATGTGTACTGACTACGTACACCAATGCGTAGCCGAACTAATACTCTGGGTCCAATGCTTATGCTCAAGCACTTTTCTTCTTTCCTCCCAAGGAAGAGTGCAGTCATTGACAAGGAACAAGAGGACATGACGGGCTTACCAGATGTAGCTACAATGGCTATCATGTCAGCTCGCGTTGGTAGTATCAGCGACAACCGTCTAGGAGGATGGTACAGCTATCGTGCATCAAAAGCTGGTGTCAATCAGGTAGTCAAAACCTTTGACAACCATCTGAGGACTGCGTCGGGCGATAACGCGATGGCGGTTGCCTTACATCCCGGAACCGTCAAGACTGGGTTGAGTAAAGACTTCTGGAGTAACGTCAAGAAGGAGAAGCTGTTTGAGCGCGACTGGGTTGCAGAAAGGCTAATTGACGTAATTCGGCAAGTGGCGCCTGAAGGACGGGGCAAGTGCTGGGACTGGGATGGGAAGGAAGTGCCGCCTTGAAAGGCATACAAAATGCAAGCGCTCGAATTCACAAAGGCCACCACTTCTTCTCTCTCGCAACTTTACTAACATTAGTTTCTTCTTTATCACCACCGCTTGTATCACCAACGGTATCTCTTCTCTGCTATCGTTACTCAACCATCACTCGTCGACTCATCACTACCATGGCAGCTCCTGCTCACTCGCAAGGTGACAACAATCCGGACGCCATATCCACACCCTCCGCCGTACTGACGCATGAATCAGAGCTGCAAATCCCACTCGCTACCGAGCCCAAGGAATCTGAGGGTAAATCTAGGAAGGCGGACATAAGGAACTTCTCAAGGTGAGCGTGCTATTCTGACATTCAAAGTGCTTGTCACTGACAGGCAAACTAGGCCTTCGAGGTCTGACTAGGAGTCAATCAACTCAGAACCGCAACCCGCATCTTCTACCTCCGAACAGGCCATACTCGCGCCCGTACCTAGTCGACGAAGACATTCAGAGAGTACAGTGAGTTTTCCAGGCTCCGTCCAACCCACGCTCAACCCACGTGGCAACTTCACTCCATCTACCAATGATGCGAATCCAAACACGAACCCTTGGGCCAACTTCGACGGACATCACGCTCATCCAGCTCAACGCTCATCGCCTACAATTGCGGGTCGAGATGCGAGTTCGTGGTGGAAGATTGGGGGAACTCCATCCTATGGCAGTATAACATCCGACACTCGTGTGGCTAGTTCCAGATCTGTGGACGGCAATGCTTCCAGCCAAAAATCTGCAGTACCCACTGCATCACCAACGGTCGGTCTCGCGCTACCAGCAGCTGTATCTAGCAATCCGTACGAATGCCACGACAACGTGTCGTCTGGCCGCTCGATTCGCATAGAGCGGAGAGCGATGTCAGAGAACGATCTCACCGTGAACGAAGAATGGAGACTTCCTATACGGGATAGATACTGGCATTCCAGTGCGGTCACTTTGCGAACACCCATATCTTTCTGGATATCGGCGAAGTGGTGGACATCTACTATCAAAGCGCAAGTCAAAGTCAATGCGACAAACAGACTTGCAACCGAAGCACCCGCCAACGCCGCAGCCAGAGCCAGAGCCACAACGGCCTATGGTGCTGGTGGCCCTCCTACCCTATTGAAGTGGCCGCCACCAGAGAAGGCATGCACAGAAAGGTTCAAGCGCGGATTTTCAAAGTATCGCATTCGAAAGAACCATATCGATGCACCACCGGGACAAGACTCAAAGTGCCTGGGCGCCGCTTTTGAAACTTGGATTTCTTCCTCGAGCAATGATGATATTTGGGTTCAGGCATACAGTGCTTGGGACGCTTTGCAGGGAGATATTCAGCAACCTATACTGCCACCGTCAGCACCGAATAATGGCAACCGACAGCCCTTAGGTTCAGGGAAAGGAGCTGAGCAACCTGTACCGCTATGGCGACAGCTACTTTGTCTTCGAGGTGGTGCTGGGACACCTGAACCACTGGACGATGAACCTCTCGAAGAGGACGAACCAGCAAACGGGCCTGGAGGCAGCCATATTCGCGGCCATGAAGACGACCATCTAGCGGAAGATATACTCAACGAGCCCGACAATGGCTCCAGGATCGATGACCAAGGCGAACGTATACCCAACGAATCTGGAAACAGCTCTAAGAACGGCTTCATACTTCCCGACATAAACGATCCTTCCTGGATCCCCGCAAATGATTATGGAACCTACGTGTACGTACCGGGCTCCCCTAAGTCGCACTACTCAGCATTATCCGGGGATTCGAGCGACCTGTCAGATGCTGCCTCTTTGCATTTCCATGAACAAAATGCAAAGGCAGAAGAAGAAAGAGGCACGGCTACAAGACTAGATGGAGTGTCAGCAGCATTAGGGCGGTTACCCACTGAGAGCAGAATCTTCACGCCAGGCGACGGCAGAGACGGCGGCAGTGATTACTCCTCTACCAGGGCTACCAGGAGGAGATTTTCGTTCGAGAGTCGACCGTCGTCTGGATCACGCAGTAAATGTACGAGCTCAAACCTGGATGGTTCCATAGACTGGCTACCACAGTCTTCTGCACCACGCGACAGGCGCACAGACTCAGACGTAGATGAGGCCGTAGATGCCATGGGTGAAGACGAACCCCTCATTAATCCACATCCAGCCCCTGAACCTGCCACAAACGACATTTCAGCCAGAGTTCCATCCCTTGAACACGCCCACAATCATAATGCGAATGTTCACCCCACCGTGCCTTTTGCAGGAGTGCGCAGACGCGATCTGCTTCGTCACGCTCTCAGACAGGATCAGTTGTGGGAACATGTTCTCCGGGCTTTGAGGAATATGCTTGTGATGGGTTCAGAAGAGAAGAAACGCTTACGCAAGAAGAAGTGATGGTTTAGCGGTATTGGTACTTGTACTGAGGTTTCTTGTGGTCATGGGCCACACATGCAGATAGCTGGTCAATTTGACGAATGCGTACAATTTGCTATCCTTGCTTGATTTTTGCTAGAGTATGAGTAGATGTCTCAACCAAGAGGGTCGCTTTCGTCTATGCATGGAGAACCGTTGGAGAAAGGCCGGAGGGTCAAGGTCATACAGCATGAATGATGCACCGTACCGCATCATGAAATTGAGCTCGCGTAGCAATTGAACTCTAAGTTATGAGGTAGCTTGTTGGCTTTGATTAATTAAAATGCCGTGCTGCCCCGAAATCACTTGGACCTGCGAACAGCTGCGGGCTGTTAAGACTCTTACAAACTTAGATCTAGAGACAGCCCAGCATCTGCGCACAGTCGAGTATCTCTCATGCAAGTACTCACATGTTTAGTCTCATCGGATTTCTAACATGGTAGGTGCACATGCGATGGCACTACGTGAAACAAGCCGACGGACTGACTGACTCTACTTGCTCTATACATGTTCAGTACCGCCCAGTGGTAGTGTGCTTTTCAACTCCGACGCTTAGCTTGTTCACAGCTAGAAGACTTCAAGTAAATACTGTGGCGGAGACCTGTGCTAAATGCGAAGGAGCTTGCTCTTTGCGAGCTTCTATCTAATCAAACCCACCCTAGAGATACTTGTGGAGATTTGCTTGTATGGATCAACAGATGAGCAATAGTGCACATCTCTACCTAGGGCACGTATTGAAATCTGTGAGCCACTCGTTTCTTCTATATAAACAGCTTTCTATCAAGATTTTGAAGAGACAAGAGCGTCCTGATAACTGACCATTAGACGAGTTCATGTCTTGAGCATACTCAGCATCAGCATGCATGGTACCCGTCTTTTCGAAGCGAATTGTCGATGAGCAAGTTAGCACCTCTATTTAAGATGCTTGTAAATGCCGCAGATTTATTGGACACGGAAGATTGCTGTGCCGTTTCCATCGAGTCAGCAGCATGTACCGCGTGTACCAGATGATTACGAAGTTGGGATAAACCATCATTACATAGCTCGCGACCTCTCTCATTCCACTCACACATACTACCAGACTGTCGTCACCAGCTCATCCGAGCAATTTCCTCCAGCCTCCCCCTCTCCTAGGCACCCACCCCGCGTCATCAACCAGAAACCGGCCAAACCGCCGCCCTTCCATATCTCATCTCCACTTTAACCTGACATATCGCGGTCCGGCGCATGAACCCAGATCCCTACTGCACGCACATGGCCCCCCAGCGAGGTCCAGCCGAACTAACCCCTTTTCCGCTGCAAGAAACACGGTACGCTAGATCCTTGGGGCCGATGCTACAGGGCGCTAAGGATGGAGGCAATGGTGTGGGCAGTGGGCACGGAGAGGGTCAAGCACAGGGTAGGTCAGGGCTTCTTCCCGCTGCTCACCGCTGGTTTCGTTGGATGTGCGATGGATGGGAGGGAGGGGGGAGGGAGGGGTATGTGCATACAATGATTTTAAGCGCTGAGAGCTTGTCGATAGTTTTGTTGGTGGTGGTGAGAAGTAGCGTAGTCAGGTATAGGATGACATGGCGTGTTGTGGGATCATGATTATGGCTATTGCGGTTACGCACGACAGGGATGAAGACGATTGAATCGGCGCATGTAACGTAGTTCATTAGAATGAGCAAGGCAAGGCTGCTTGCTTCCTACCATTCTTGTGATGAGATGTGTGATGGGAACGCAGATTTCGACACGCGAGCACACACGGCTCGGGCGGCGGAACTGATGGGGTTGCAGGCGTACGTGGCACATTTGACATATCGGTTACAGCATGGCATGTGTGTTGGTGCATCGCAAGGGATGGCACGGAGGAAATGGGTCCAGGGTCAGAATCCTTTTGCCGGACGGACAGCGGCAACAGCACAGCACATTTGACCTGGCCAACAAGAAAAACTTGTGGAGTTGTGCGTTGTGTGCTTGCTCCCGCAAGCACGCAAAAAAAAAAAAGAGACCGTGGGTTGGTGCCAAGCGGATGTGACAGCCAGCCAGCCATGTCTAGCAGTGCGATGCAAGGGCATCGGAAAACTGCCTTGGAGGCGCTTAGCACTCTCGCTTTCCTAGCTTATCTTCCATCGAATTTTTTTAGTAAGCACTACCTACACACACTACAGCTACACTATGAGATCCGGACTTGTCCTCTCAGGAGATGCACTTGCGAAGCCAAAAGAGTGAGAAAGACAAAGAGCGGTACGCTAACATGAGTAGGCAAGGAAGGGACAAGGTCAGGGCCCGCAATTGCTCGACTCAGCTTAGTTGAGCTTGCGACATCGAGCATCCCGGTTCGAAACTTCTGCTCGCACCGTCCCGTGACGGGCAACGACTATTTAGCTTGTACAGTCCGAATTCGGAGTTAGGGGGATTGGCCGGGCACGTACGTTTTCGTCGAACAGCGATGTATCCCAGGCATATGTGAGGGATTGCTATTGCGATCGGCTGAAAGCGAGTCGCAACCACAAAGGCCTCCTTTCCCCCTGATCCTGGCTCCTTTGTGGAAGCAAGATATTTCTTACTCGACTGAAACGCTGACAGGCTAATATTGATTCGTGACGACGTCGTTCGTTAGCGACGACAAACTTTCCCAGATCCGATTGCATTGCCGAAACCCTGAACCATGAAAAAAGACCTAATGGTCTATCCACATGAAAATTAAGTGATGCAAACAAAATATGTCAGCTGGATATTTGCTGTCTCGGCAAGCCAAGGAGAAGCATTCGTGTCGAGGCAGCAAAAGAACGGTACGCTAGGTCGCTTTAGAACCACAGTTCCTTTTTGTTGCAATTTTTGCCCTGCATGCTCTGGCAGTTCTCATGACGGACTTGCTTCCCAGCGTGGCAGCGAATCAAACCCTTCTCTTTCTCTCGCACCGTTCCGTTAGCGAGTCGAGATTGAACGGTACGCTATAGCGGCGACACCATGCAACGGCGGGCGTATCAATAGCCAGTAGATGTGAGAAAGGCCTATAGCCAAGCCGTCTGTTCATTAGGACAACATCGGCGGACTGCGATCCAGAACCTGGCCTTTGGTACGATGCTGCACCGCACGGTAGCAGGAAGGGACGGAAAAGTAATAGAGTTTTGAGGGTTCATCAGCTGCTCCAAAGCAATCGTGGTACACTAGGATTCTAAAGCCTCAATTGGTATCTGGGGTGACATGTCGGTGCAAGTCAGTGCTGCGATACATTGAACTATTGTCGGATTCGCAATTGATAACCTCCCTGCGTCCGAGCGAGCCGCAGCACAAACTCGACGATACTGGTACTGATGAAATCATTTTGATCAGAATGATTACATCGTGCATGCTAGAATGCGTCGTAACCAGCGATGACAGACAGCAACGTTCTAGTCCGACGGCCTTGGATGCTTTCATTTGCCCTTGTACCATGGAAACTCATACGTCCCGTGCCGATGTAGTTCGAGAATGACAGATCGAGACTTGTCTGGTAGCAGCGCTCCGGCACGCCGAGACCCCGATTCTGTACCGTGGTAGACGTACAGTACTGTGCTATGAGAATATACGTAATTGAGTCATGCACGTACACCTGTCGGGTAGATGTCAGTGAGGTTTGTGCTGCCGTGGTACGGTAATGATGCGATCAAAGCCACGACAAAGTCTGCTCCCCATGGGAACAATATCGATAGGCGCGGGTGGCTGAGTTCGGCTGTCCATTCTTTTGCGTGGGGACGTGCTGCCCTGAAATGGTAGGTGCAACACGTGCGTACCCGCTATCCTATACCTGCCATGTCGGGTTGCCCTGCGTGGCTTGTCGTACGTAACGTACCATGTGATGTCAACATCCATCAGGCACGTGTCTTGGCATCGTGGTTAGACAGGGCCAGGCTGGGCGGGATCGCAAGCAAGAGCGATGGGTAAGCATGTATGATGACTGTAGGAGAAGGTGTTTTGACAAGCAAGCCCAGTTCGGGATTCCAGCTCTCAAGATCAGCACCACCCGGTTGACATAGGCCAGGTGCGGTGCCCCGTTCACAAAAGTGTGCAAACAATAGATGTGGTAAGCATTACACCAGCGAACATCTCCAATTTAGATAGCTAGTAACGAAAAAAAAGAAGCCACTACGTACAGGATGATGCGAGAAACCTCAGCTCTCCCGAGGTGCTTTGCGAGTTTACGATCAGATTGCCACCCACCAGTAATAGTTCCCATATAGACTTTGAAATGCGGTAGAGACAGGCTAAGAAGGGGAATACCGCGGGAAAAAAAAACAGACGTAATAGGTACGATAGGAAAGAGGTACCAAAAAGCACAAGCGACCACTACCCCAGACAATATACAGCGAAGCACATTGATGCTGGACCCAACCCACGCTACGATGATGCAAATATCAACGAAGCCTCCATGTGATGATGCACCCCCAGTTCTAGATGTTTGCGGGAAAAGACAGAATAACCACCCAGTATAGTAGTTTAGGTCACACTCGAGATGAGATCCGGGAGGGACAGTGGAATGGATCCGTAAGTATTAAAATGGAAAACGTCGGAAGTTCTTTGTCGCTCTTGAAAGTTTCAGATAGCCGCCCAGAAATCACGCTGTTGCCAGCCAGAACTCCTTGCGATAAGCAAACGTCGATTGGACGAAAATACAGATTGTACATGGAAAGCAGTAAACGACGACTGACAGATTCGGAGGGGAAATTTTGCTCCTTGTTCTACGCTTGATGCGGGTGTGCGAAGCGCTCTCGTAAGACCAGCTCCAGAGCGTCTCCACTTGCGCGAGGCAGATTTTTACATGGGCCGGCGGTTGAGCATATTGAGCATGGACGAATCGGTCGAGCTGCGAGCGGGGCCATTGTCGCTTACGAGGTCATTGATGCGCATGCTGGGTCTAGCCGAGGGTGTCGATGTAGGCGGTGGTGGGGTTCTGCCATCACTGCGCGCAGGCGGTGGCTGCAGGACGCCGTTGGGCTGCGGTGGAGCTGCGTAATAAGGCGTAGGAGGGGCACCGGGGGTGGTTGGTGCTTGAGAGTGTGGCGATGAAGAGGTGCGACTCGGCTCGTAGCGGTAGGCGCTCTGTGGAGAAGCTTGACGCGGCGGCTGTGCGGCGTAGGAAGGGTGGGCGGGAGGAGGCGCGGAGGGGTAAGGGGTGGGAGTGTTTGCTGTTGAAGCAGCCGAAGTTAGAGACGGTGGCTCTGGATAGGCATAGCCTTCTCCAGTGCCTCGATGAGGAGCCTGTGACGCTGAGCCAGGATGTGGCGGCGGCAGAGTAGGGGTATGAGGCTCAGGATGGAGTCTCTTCCTGCCTGCCAGCGCATCACGGCTCGCATCATCTGGAGAAGCACTGGGCGGGCCATAGTCAGAATGAGCTGGGTACGGACCTGCAGTGGGGCTGGGCAGATACTGCGGCTGGCGCGACGGCTGGCCATATGGCTCGCCGTGGCTGGCAGGAGGTAGTGGCTGCCCATAGGCACCGTACATGGGCGGTGGCTGTCCGACACCGCGCCAGACTGTGTGTGCAGGAACAAAGGCCTGAGTCTGGGCCGAGACTGGGGTGAAGATGCAGTCTTGGTTGAACCTCATGCAGTTGGAGCAGCGGCCGTCTTCAGTCGCCTCGAAGCCGGAGCAGCGAATCTAGGGAGGGTAAGCAGGCATTCTCTGGGGTCAATTGCGTCAAATAGCATGTACCTTGCGGCGTCGGCAGTAGCGACAGGCAATGGCAGTGCGCTGTCGCGGAGCGGGCGGCTGGTGGTGTTGCTGGACATATTGGGGAGGCGGTGGTGGCTGCTGGCGATAGTCTGGCGGAGGAGGAGCGCGTGTCCACTCATTGGGGCCTGGCAGACGGTATGGCTGCTGGTGCTGGTACTGAGGATGTTGGGCCATGTCGGGGCGGGGCTCTTGGGGCGGTGGAGGTGGAGGTGGGAGCGTGGTGTTCATCTAGGTTGACGTCAAGTGTCAGCGAGCTGTCACCCAGACCAGCTTACGAGAGGGACATGACATGACGTGCAGCGCGCGTGACAACAGACTGCGACTACTTCTGCTACTAAGACTGTTACTACTTACATGCGGAGGCTGCGCATACGAGCCATTCGCGGGCTGCTGGGCAGTGGGTGGTTGCCAGTGGGCGGGAAGCTGGCCTTGGCCACCCTGGTGAGGGAACATGTTTTGGGTTGCGTGGTCGAGCTGGGTGGGTGGTGGATGGCGGGCGCAACGGGGAGCTGTCACGGCGCGCTCTCGCAGTGCAACACAGCGGCCGGCTTGCTCAGCGTGTGCTGTGGGCGAGGGCGAGTGCAAGGGCTTCGGGCGAGAGCGAGTGGTGGGTGGTGGTGCGGAAAATGCTCTGGGGCGGGTGAGGTGTCACAAAATACTGGCAAGAGCGGCCCGCAACGTCGGCTGCAGGAGAGTGAGACGATGGGCAGGGCAGGCGGGCGGGTCGGAGGAATTGCTCTGGGCCGCGAGAGGGTGTGAGGCGGCGGTTGTGGTCGAGGCAGCAGTCGTAGCAGAGGTCGGAGAGGTGAGGGAGGCTGTGGAGTGAAAGGCTTCTCGAAGCGCGTGGAGGAGACGGGACCCAAGAGCGTGGAAGCGAAAAAGGAGATTCAGGTTGGAGCGGCCGCTATTACTACCCACCGCGTGCCCGAACTCAACCTTCTCGCCGCTTCTACTGGGATGGCGTTTTTAACCCTGTCCGCCCCATGCAGCGACGACGGCGACGGTCCGCCAAACGCGCTAAATGCCATGCGGCACCCTCACTTGCAGCCAGACGTGCAGCCCACAACCACCCGCGTAGACGAGCTACACACACGCACACATACGAGGCGCCCCTACCACCTCGCCCGACTCCTCGTCCCGACACGACGACGGCGACGACACCCTTGCGCTGCTGTTTGGGCCGGTGTATGATGATGACCTCGCCCATGACAAGGCCCATGGCGCCGCCCATGACCATGGCCGCGAGACAGGCCTTGTCCACCACCCATGTGCATGATGCTGCTGCGGCCCGGCAGCTTGCTTGAGATGTGTGACTCGCCAAGACCTCGGGGACTCCCGTCGCGTTGTGATCTACGAGCCTTTAATTACATACACGGCGCCGCAATAAATACTCAAAAGCCCAAGGCCACATCATCCTGAATGTCACTCTGCCGCCCGCCTGCACGAGATGCCAGACTCTGCGCTGGCTGCACCGCGCTTGTGCGAGAGCCTACCCGCCGTCTGCAGCTCGCATGCGTCTCAAGTGGCACAGTCGCCTCGACTCATGGAACCACCTCGGGCTCTTGAATCGTCTACGGGCCGTCTCTGCGTCCCTCGTGTCGCTTCCTCTGCCAAGCCCATAGCTCGCCCATTCGACAGCTCACGAACCACGGTACGCGCCTGCGTCCGGTCAGCTTGGTCGTACCGTGCGTGCTGGCGCCGGCGACCTGCTGCGAAGCCTGCTGTCCCGACCCTGCTATGCTTTTTTGTACACACATGCATCGTGACGGCTTTCGAGCTTCCTCGTCCCAGATCAATCGCTGCTTGCCGCCTCCCGCAGCCTGATCCACGCACAAGCAGGGTTCGCAAATGTGCCTCTCCTCAACCTCCCGGACGCGGCTTGCCGTCTTTTTTCATCTGCCAACATGTCTGATAGGGCTGATCAACTCGGGGCGTCGGTCATTTTGCTCGACAAGGACGGGCACCATCCCTGTCTGACTGTTGGTGTGTACCACTTCGGCAACCACGTCTGCTAAGTGCTTGGACAACTGTGACGTGAGTGCTCTCTGCTTGCTAGTCAAGCACATGCCGGTGCGTCTCGGCGACTTCAGGCACTCCTTCGCGGGGCAGTGTACGGGAGAACCGATGTCTTGCGCCGGGAGAACCGTTCGTCCAAACCAGCAGCAGTAGTTTGCCTTCTCAGTCCACACAAGCTGGTTGGTAATAGAGCCGATTCTGGCCAGTCTTGCCTGCGAGAAAAAAAATCATGTACCGACTTCCTCATCCTCAGCTGCTATTGCTTCGTGTAAGACGGCTGGCATGCGACGCAGCCCACTTTCGTCCTCGAATCACGCCTCTCAATCTGGCATCCACAATTTGGCAAACCGTTCATCCCTTGCGCCGGTCCAAGGCTTGCGAACTGGTGCCCATGGCAAAACGCTTCCCTGCCCCCTTGATTCGACGCCTCCATAATTGTCGAGACTGACGATACAGACAAGCCAACGGCACTTGTCGAGTCGTCTTGAGTAGTGGCGGTGCCGTATGTCCCGCCTGGTGACGAGTCTCGGACTTGTGCGGATGTAGGCACGGTACCATGGAGAATAGCGAAACGCCCAGTGCGTATTCAGCCTCGGCATCGCGCCGGCCTCTTTCCAGCTGGCCGCATATAGGTGACGACGCCGACACTTTCAACAAAGAGTCGTCAGCAGTAGTTCGTGACTATCCACACATGCCAAAACACTCCGTCCTCTGCCTCGAGATTGGGGCGGACGGCCCGCACAATCTCGTGCTTAGTTTTCCACCGTCCAGGTCTCGGTCAAATTTAATCAACCAATCAGCACGTCCCCTGCCTAGTATTCAACTCTCTTGGGCAAATCTCAGCTTCGCAGCTGGCATGTGCCTTGCATCTGCTGCTCGACGGGTAAATCCTAATCGTGGCAGGCGAGAGCAAAAAACCTTGCCTTGGTCACAAGACGTGTCTGCACCGGTCAAAGCCGTCATTCCGGACACGGTACCCTTTTCACTTATTGGAACTGTATCAAGCGGGCTGACAGCTTGCAGCCAATCGCATTTAATCTTTGTTGTAATTTGATTGTCTGCCACACCGCATTCCGGCTTTTGAGTCAGTCACCAGCCCATGATAGATGAGGACCGATGCAGTCATTCGTCTGGAGTCAAGTCGGCCTGGAAGAATCGGCCCACTGAGCAAGCTGCTACAATGACAATAAATAAATGTCAGCAGCCTTGTCTTGCACACATCGCAAAGTGCCGTTGAATGCCGCTGACGACGGTTACACCAAATGAACGGATTGTGGGGTAGATCAACCGGGATCTGTTCTGGATGTGATCTTCAGCCGCCTCGGTCGGTTCACCCAAGCAAAATAGCCGCGTAACGTCCATGACTGCTGCGGCACGGAGCTTAGGCGATGCTCAGCTATCGTCTTCTTCATGGACGTCGGGGAACAGCGCGAGGGCAACTTGGAGATGCTCAATTGGTACCATGTGTGTCAGCGGCCCGGGACGAGAGTGGAATTCCCGCGTGTATCCCGTTGATATTTAGATTAACGAAGTTTGTGTCACCGAAGCCTTCCCGCAATATGCATAGCATAGCTGGAAATTGCGGAGGCTACCCTTTTGTGTCACCGTACGCAGTGCAAGCGGCCATGTCGCTTGTGCCGCGTTTCGTGTACCGCCATCTGCACGTAAATCCAGATGCAGACGCATCAGGCGGGAAGATATCGTCAAGCCTCCGAGACGAATTGTAGCCTGTGCCACTGTTCTAGTGTCTGACAGGCAGAAAGAATGCAAACAATGCTTCCACAGCGCGACCGTGGCCACTACAAAACAAACAACACTCACCGATCTGTCAAGGTGTGCTGGTGCGATAGAGGCGTAGTCAGTCTGGTGATGGCTATGCATCGGTGTACACGCAGTCTTTCGCATCCTGTTAGTACTCTGAATGCGCCGCAGCACCGCATTATGCTGATGGTTCAGCACAGAAGCTCCGTTCTTGCAGTAGCCGTATGAGGGACAACATCCTGTCGGATAAGCGGTATTCCATCTCCGTCTGGTACCGCAGCGTCCGCTTGCCTCATCTTCGGGCAAACCGCCGTGTATATTCGCCTCACGAATCCGACGGGAGTGCCAAAGAGGGTAAGGCGACACGTTCTGACTTTGCAAGATCCAGCTGTGTCACAAACGCCGGTAAATATCATCAGAGACGCGGAAGAGGTGGGTAAGCGGACGCAAGCCATTGCGGGTCGATGGATCAGCCCGAAGCGTGCTAATTCGCGGAAGAACGAAATATCAGCGGCTCATCGGTGTGATGGACGGTGGGATTGAAGGACAAAACGAGGTGCCCTACAAATACACCGCCTTTTGATGACGTGCTAAAGCATCAAAAGGCCTCGCAGCTTGGTTGACATGGAGCATGCAGACCTGCGACATACTCGACGCACTTGGTATTGCAGTTGTCAAGGTTTCGTGTTGGAGCTGCTGGCGTCATGCTTACACCATGTCGAGTGTGACCGAACAGTATAAGCCGCTCGACCTTCCGCTTCTTGTGCGTGCATGACGCAGAGCGATGCAGCAACTAACCGCCAGCGACTTAAGGCGCCGGTAAAGACTCACTGAAGCCGTCGTCACGAAATGGAGCTGGCCATGATCAGACGCGTTAGGGCGGAAACCTTGCATCCCAGGACAACGAGTGCGCCTCGGGCCGTGGCCGTCTAAAGCCTAACGCAACGTGTGCAGCTTGTCACAGTGCCCAAGAGCACACTATGGAGAGGGCAGGTGATCGGATGATTATACAAAGCGATTGCTATACGTCTCGCTTCTGCACTGTCATCGATGAGACTTTGGCGTCGATGCGGTCAGCCATGCACACCGGGTCATCATCGAAGACGAGTGAAAAGTGAGCCCCGTGCGCTGCCTCCCCTGGCTCGCTGGAACCAAGCAGAAGCCGCTAAGGAAAGACGGCAGGCCCGCGTTTGAGCGAGAGAACTGGGACCAGGGTCGTAGAAAGGCTTTTCCTATTGCGATCTGCTAAACTTTAGTCTCGCATATCTCGGTCCTACTCAGCCCACTAAGTAACGTGACCTTCTAGCGCCGCAGTGTCCCGCAAGCAGTTTGAACGGGCGTAAAACTAATGCAAGATGAGTTGGGACCAACCAGTCAGCGCCACTGCCGCAGGGTTACACAGGCGTCTATTGGCGGGCTTCGCGCTTGTGTGGCCCACTCCTCCACGCTCCACCAATGTGTGCATCCAAATGACTTCGGCTGGAAGAACCGCGCCTCGAACATGCGTTGTTGAAATTGCCTTCATCAAGCCTCGTCATCCTCTGCAGCGCCGCTGTCATTGTCAGGCTCGGCATCGCTTCCATCGCCGTCGCTCGAGTCTGACGTGTCATCGTCGGGCATCGCGATGCTGTTAAGATAGGTGATCTGCCACAGTCGTTAGCGGCTTCGTGTGCAACGCCTCAGCAAGATTGCTCAGGCCTCTCTCCACACCTAGACAATTCCATAATGGGCGGGTGACCGCAATGCTAACACACTACTGGCCAGCATTATAGTCACCCCATAGCTTGCAATGTACAGGCACAACCCTAACAAGTTGCCGCCGCTTTTAACTTCGGCTGTTCAATGAACGTTTTATGCCATCAATGTCAAGAATACGAATCGTTAGACTTACAAAGGGCACCATATTGGCTACGAGCTTACCCACACGCTCCAAACCTCCAACACCGACAATTTCGTCGTCTGTAAGCTTTCGCCCCATGGTAAAATTGCGGAGCCGCAGAAGTTCAATGTCTTTGTGATCATGGTCATATCCCTGAGAGCTGTCAGCAAACTTGAGCAGGCACAGTGAGACTGAAGGTTGTTCGTAATAAACTCCGCAACTTGGCAGTGACGCTGCTACCAGCAGAAAACCCCGCCCTTTGAAAGGGTGCTAGCTATGACATCTCGAACTCAGCTTGAATTGTTGAGTGCGGGGCGATTTGAAACTCTATTTTGCCGGACGGCACACAGTTGTAACGCAAAACTGTCCAGTACGAGACCGAAGCTTAGTTGCTCGTCATCGTTGTCGTGTGCCGTTCGCAAGATAATGTAGCGGAAGAGTTTCACAGGAGTGCATCCTTGTAGGCGGGAAGTTCCCGGGCTAGTTTTGGAGTTGATCTGTGCCAGGCTGCGGAGGACACCCGATCCCGCCATAGCTGTCGCAAAATCATCCAGAAATTGCTCTGCCCTTGCAGGAAATTGGCAATTGAGACGCGTCTTCCTGCTTGGTGACCGACGTCTGATAAGACAGTTTCATACAAGGAAAGGTAAAGCAGAGAGGACTCGCCTTTGGATTGCGCTTCAGAGCATTTGACTGATTCATCGACAGACTCGTAAAAGCTTTGACAGCCTTCTTCTCGTCATCTTTCACGCCACCAAGGAATGCCTCCCGAATGCCGGCGTCAGTCAGAACCGCCTTGAACTTGTGCGGTTTACGGTCGATGTCGCGTCGAAGTTTGGCGAGGGTCGTCGCGTCCGGCTGCCAGAAGCCACCACCTTCCAAAGTCAGCGTACGCCTGTGCGAGTATGATAACAATGGCGGTAAGACAGCGCTAGAAATACTATCGCGCCGTTGAATGTGTTGCTACTTGCGTAGGCAAGATGACAAGGCATTGGCATGCATTAGACAGGAGCACCGTCCCGACGACACAGTACCGAACACGACCGAACCTCGAAGCGATCCGACGCATCTTCCAACGAATATCGCCCAGTATGGTATCGGGACTCAAGATGCTACGCTGCGCTGTCTGACCGCGGATACGAACATAAGACCAACAGCGGGGTATGTTGAGCACTCATGTCCCAGGCATGATCATGCTCTTCAGTACTGGCCGGGGTTGCCAATTACACTAATGACAGTACCTTGTCATATGTGAAATGGCGGTCGTGCTACGGCAAAATACAGCATGGAGTGCGAGGCTCGGCCACACAAGGACAAAAGCCGCCAGGCCTCGGCCCGTCCTTGATCTCATGGGCGACGGCAACCATTGGGTATACATGCATACATCATGCACATTTGATCGAAAGAAGAACCACGGCGGCCACGGGATTGCGCTTCGCCTCGGTTGAGGTTTCACGACAGCTCGTGGCTATAGCAATCGCACACATACAAGAGAAGAAGAGAATCAAACATACCTACAAAGCTCCCGCCTTTGGGTTGCACCTGAACGTAGTAGTGCGCGTAAGGACCTTTTCGTCCCTTACGGTTGTGTCCAATGTCAGTCTGTGGCTCGGATTAACTGCTGCACAAAGATAACTCACAGTCCTCGACCAAGCCGCAGAGAAGTAAGTCTAGATTAGGTCAGCCTGCTTGCACCTTGCCATGACCGAGCATAAGGACAAAAACATCTTCGAGGGGCAGATGATATTGGGTTAGAGTCAGCTAGATGGCCAGCAAGATCTGTCTCTGCATGTCGAGATATGACTTTGAACGCATTGCTCTGCCTTTTCCAACAAAACTTGAGACGCTTTCTCACCTTGTACGGGGTGGGATCTTTTGAGAACCGGATGTCTTGAGTAGTGAGCGTGGTTCGATACAATCAAGCTCCAAGCTCACCTCTGTAGATACGGTAGATCTGTACGCGTTAGTGATGTCTCTCACGATAGCTAAATCGTCAATACCCACCACGTCTTTGACCGGTAGTTCGGGAATGGTCTCGTCTGCTTCAATAATCTTATCTGATACCTTCTCGGCGAATGTTGTGAAATCTTGAAATGAAACTCTAAAATCAGGGTCATGGACTGTAACCATTAGCGGGCGGTCTAGTGAAGCAAGCGTTATGAAGGGTTGCATACGCTTCAACCATTGACGGTCGTTATTAGCTGCTAAGTCCTTGAGGAACAACATTGTGTTTGGGTGGATTGTGTGATCCAAATATGGCGTGTCGCCTGCATCTCGGGCCTTTGGCTTCTTGATGACCAGCTGCGTTCCTGGTGCCAGTTTCGCTCCCGGTCTCCAAAGCTCTTTCTCATCGGCGGCCTTCTTGTGTATAGGGAGGTTCTTGGTGGTGCGCCCTCTCGGAGTTGGCCGCTTGCTCTCGACGTCATCGTCAGTGGCAGTTTCATCGGGCTCAGATTCCGACGATGGATCCTTGTCGCTGTGCTCCTCGTAGTCGGAGGCCACCCCTTCATCATCGTCATAGTCGCCGTTGAATAGTTGAACTTTCTTTGGTCTATCCTCATTATCCGTGTCGCTTTCAGGCTCGACGTACGATTTCCGAATCGTAGCCCGTGCTCTTTTAGACTGCCTTGCTGGAACCTCCGGTGCGGGACGTTTGGAGGAACTCCTGGAAGCCGGCGCACCAGTACTTTTGGTAGCTTTACGTGGCATGATGTCGATTTAGTTGGTTTGCGGAGCCGGCAAGCGGTATGACTGGTTATAACTGCAGACGTCTACGTGGATGCTTGGAAGGGAATGTGAGCACAGACCATGGATGACGCACTCGAACGCGAAAATACGGCGCGTTGTCACGGGTTTCCCACACAGCCACAGAGCACGACAGACATGCCGACTCGCTTCGAAGTACGCAAGCAAAAGATCCTGGAACAGCTCGATGCTCCAGATGGCGAGTACCACGATCTGTCCCCAAAGGGCTCCATTGATGCGCCTATCCGAGATCTAATCGGCGAGATCAATAAGCTCCAAGGTCTCGTTACAACAAGCAGTTGCTCGGGGCGCATTAGTGTGTTTTTAGAAGGGCGTAAAGCAGATGCCGAAGCATCAGACTCGGCTCAAGGGGAAGAATCACGTGCTGGTCCAGGAGGCAAAGGTGGTGGGGGTGCATGGCTGTTCATTTCGCATACGCCAGTTGAACGTGTCGAAGCAAATCATGATCTCATGTCGGAGTTTGGCTTGCAGAAATATGAGACTGAGGAGAGAACACCTAGTGTTTCTTGCAGATACATTCATCTCAAGTTTGAACCCATGGTAATTTTGGTTCTTGCAAATCTTCGGCAGACTCTGACGAGGTACAGATACTCCACATCCTGAGCGCATCAATGGACCATGCCCAAAAAGTCCTCACTGCTGCATTGACTGCAGGATTTCGTGAGAGCGGGGCCGTGAGTCTAGGGTCACCAAACACGGGAGATTCAAATCCTATGGTAGCAGTCCGGTCAGCTGGATATTCATTCGACTCCATCATTGGCTATCAAGATGATGATGGAAGTAACATTGCCCTGGTAGACCAGCAGTATTTGCGAACGTTGATCAAGATTGCCAACGAGCGCTTCAAGATCAACTTTGATCGTATAAGTCGGTTTCGCCAGGCCCTTTTGCAGACCTACGAACCGAAGCTTTTGAACAGGACCAAGGCTGATTGGGAAGATGCAGATGTCAGGAAGCGGCGCAAGAGAGAAGAAGGCCTTGCGCGGCAACAAGCTTTGCAGAATCAGAACTCTGGAGGCAATGTTGATCTATCGGAGGAAGCAGATGTGGGCAACATGATAGAGATGTTCTCTTGATACCGTACGACACGAACTACATAGGCGCGACGACACAAGATCATTTCGATAAGAGGTGGTAACCAAGCACGCCAGGAAGGCTAGTGAGAATCGCTACTTTTTCACGATAGCCTCAAACATCAGTCGAAATGACTCATCCACTATCGGCTATGAAGGTGACTTGAAGGTCGCGGTCTACGGAGGCTTCTTTGCACCCTGTGGAGCCATATCACAATGTCTCCGGTAGCTGTGTCCACATCCTAGGTGCAAATTGGGCGATGTTCGGAGGAGACCAACTGAAGCCACATGTGCTTTGGCAAACCTGAACGGGGACTTCTTCGCTCCTTTATTGCCATATCAAATAAATCATTTCGTATATTGCGTGTTTCTTGATACACGTTGTGATGTTCGGCCAATATAGGCTTAGCGTGCGTATGTCTCCGATGCAGACCGGCGACATTGAATCTATCCTCGCAACCTTCTTCACTCCATAAAAGGAAAGTCTGATCATCCCCCAAACCTCAATTACTTGTTTCTCTTCGATTCCAGAATACTTTATAGATTTAACAACGCTGCATCAGCGACATCACAACCATAAAACAGACTTCTCACTCTTACAGAGAACAGCGTACCATTCAAGATGAGCTACGCAGAGGCAAACCGTCGGTATTTCGAGTACGATACATCATTCTATGAATTACCACGCACATCTATACTGAACATTCCACAGTGCCATATCGGACTCCTACGACAGCAAGCCTTGGTTCAATGTCGTCAACGACCGAGTCGCAGATAGTCTTCGCTCCGATCTATCTTGGGTTGGTATCCCCTTTACCAACACGGGATCCAGTACAGATGCCACACAAGTTCGTCTTCTGGACTATGCATGTGGCACTGGGCTGATGACACGTGTCTTCGGACCCTACGTTACCAAGACCCAGGGTATCGATATCTCACCCAAAATGGTATCTACATACAACACTCGTGCTCGCGATGCCGGTCTTCCAGAAGACGTTGTCAGCGCCGTGGTTGGTGATTTGTTTGTCAAGTCCGACCCTCAGCCACAATCACTGTCGGGACAGGAGTTCTGGAACTTTGATCTTGCGACTGTTGGATTTGGGTTCCACCATTTCGAGGATGTTGTGTTTGCCGCTAGTCAGTTGAAGGACAGGCTGAGGCCGGGTGGTGTGTTGGTCATCAATGATTTCTTAGAGGGAGGAGATTTATTGGCTGGCGAGGACGGGGAACCGATCGAAGGGAGCGATGGCAATCATGCTCTACACAATCACAAGCATGGTCATGATCATGGAGGACATGGGCATCATCACGGTCCCGGCGACAAAAAGGCCTCCAATTCGCACGATCACCACCATCACGGGCATCAACACCATCATAATGCCGAACAAAAGCACGACGTCGGCGACAGCGATCCCGAATTTCGCAGAAAGATGGAAGCTTCTGTCGTAGTCCCGCACTTCACTATTCAAGGCGTGAAACAATTTTTTACTGAGGCTGGATTTGTGGATATTGATGTCAAAACGATGAAGGAGAGGAACTACATGGAATTCGCTGGCAAGAAACTGTGGCGCACAATCTTGTTTGCTAGAGGCCGGAGACCGATTGAAGAACAGGATGGCAGAGGAAAGAGTGAGTTGTGAGTATCACGAAGAAAGCAAAGTTACACAATCGAGAAGCATCGCAGTGTGGATGGTGGTAAGGTCATATTTAGCAATATGATGTATGTATGGGATATCGACAAATAACACAAATGGAACTCCAGCACTAAACCAGTCACAATTCTATCCAAGTAACGCCGCCTTACCACTTGCCCTCCAACGGCAAGTCTCTGCTCGAGAATCCTACACCAATACCGAACTCGCCATTAGGCAACACCCAGTTCTGCCTCTTTATATCCCAATAACTCAGATCTCTTCTTGTCACCTCAAACTGCACAAGCTTTCCTGTGTTCTTCTCTAGATGTATCTTCTCAAACCCTCGCAGCACACGGACGGGGAAGTCAACAGGCTCGCCCGTCTCATGATCCTTGTAGTCTTGTGGGAACGCAATGTAGAGTTGGACTACTGACGAGCCATCTACTGGTCCCGCATTTTCTAGTGATGCGGATACGGTCAATAGCGTAGTATAGAGATCGGGGTTGCCGCCTGGGCCACCGCCTGCCTCGCTGAGGGGAGATGGTGGGGCAGGGTTCATGGGCTCGGATTTCTTGATGTCCTTCGTAGAGTCGAGCCATGGGTAGATGTATCGCTCTACCTGGTTGAAGCCTTCAGGAAATAGCGCGGACTTGGGATCTGGTATTTCCGTGGAGTAACTGGGCGGTACCAGGCCATCAGGTCGGGGTTTGGGAAAGGGTGTTTTAGCGCCCTTCTCTTCGATCAAGAGGGAAGACAGCTTGAAATCTGTGTACGAAAGACCATAGCCGAACTCAAATCGTGGAGTGATGTTCTGTTTGTCAAAGTGACGGTAGTCAATGTAGAGACCCTCTGAGAAGTTCTGTTGAGGCGCCAGACCATCGGAAGGACTGGGAAGATACTTAATCTTGCTGCCTGGACCATATTCGTCTTCCTTCTTGGCAATAGTATAGGGTAAACGACCAGACGGGTTGACGTTGCCAAAGAGAATGTCTATAATGGCATTGCCGGACTCGGTTCCAGGCAGATTGGCGATAATGACGGCCCTGACATTCATGATGTCGATGAAGTTCTCGAGAATGACAGGTCCAACAGTATGAATGACAACCACAACGTCGCCCATGCCTTCTCCACAGTCTTTAGCAACGTCTTGGATCAGCTTGTCGCCACCCTTTTGCAGATTGAGGTCGTTCCTGTCACCACGTATGCTTCCGTAATGCTCGTAGCCCTCACCAGCGTCGGAGTTGGCGAAGACGATACAGAGATCCTGGTCTACGAGGATCTCCTTCTGGCTAGGAAGCTTGTTCTCCAGCCAGTCAGTAACGTATACAGTCTCGTTGTCGAAAGCGTCCCGAATAGCCGACATGGGCTCAACTAGATAGGAGAAGTTCACGGCGCCAGATCCCCACCCGGATGCTAGTGTTCCTTCGTCGCAACTTTGATCAGAGCAGTGATTGATTCCTTCATGAGGGAGACGTGCATCTTCACCGAAGACACCGACGCGGAACTTTGTCTTGGCCTTGCCGTCAGTCTTCCAACCCTTGCGGTTCAGGGGAAGCGTCTTGCCCTCGTTCTTCACCAAGACAGTGCCTTCGGCCGCAATGCGACGTACTAGGTGGCTGTGCGCCTCTTTCCCTTCTCCTTGCGCGTCGACGTACTGATTTACCACACCCATCTCATGGTTCGATGGGCTGCCCTCGTGAAGCTTGCCAACCTCGTCGTTGGTCCACGAAGAGAAGTTTGGCCCATCGTTGTCCCACTTGTCCTGTCCAACTTGATACCATGATGCCACGATACGAGTAACCATGTCGTTGACGCGATCGATCGGCACGCTGCCGTTGAGAACTGCCCGCGTGAGCTCAGGACCCCATAGACTATTGCCCTTGGCCCATCGCAAGCCATCTCCTGGCATTGTCATGTCCAAGCCCGCAAGAGCACTAGCCACACCAGAACGTTGTGCCAACCAGTCGCTTTGGATGAAGCCCTGGAAGCCGAGCTCATCCTTTAAGACTCCGTTGAGCAGCTTGGAGTTTTGACAAGCGTAGCTGGAATTGACCTGGTTATACGAACACATGACGCTGGTCACTCCAGCTTTGATGGAATCGGCAAAAGGCCATGCGTAGATCTCGTGCAATGTGCGGTCATCGATGTTGCTCGAGATGGCGTTTGGAAGGCCCCACTCCCATGCCTGCCGGAAATGCTCTTGTTCGTTGCCGACATAATGCTTCGCGGTAGCCAT